CAGTGCGCCCTTAGCTGTAGAGAAAGACGCTATTCTATTCTACTGAGATGAAAGTAAATTTGACAATGTCCATGGAAAATTTGGCAATGTCTACCCATGTTACAATTTCCCCGGGGACACAGCAGTGTGCGATATTATGAAAACCTCTTCCCTGCGATGCTTTCATCCTATTGAAGGCCAACTGCTAATATGCCAAACAACTGTAGGCCAGAAGGTAATAAAGGATTATACATAAAAAGAATAGCATATAGCTGAACTAACAGAGTGATGCTTGTAATCCTAAGTAGAAGCTTTAGAAAGCTCCCCACAGAAAAATAGCTACTACTTAACAGACAACACACAGATGTGCCGGGAGAGTGTAGAGATGGGGGATTCTGTGTGTGGCACAATGTGTGAATCAAGACTGGGGAGGCTCCTGAAGAAATTAAAAATAGAACTAACACGTGACTGAGCACTCTCTTTTCGGAATATAAACCCCAAAGGAAATGAAATCATGGTCTCTGAGATCAACATCTCCGTGTTTACTGCGTCATGATTCCCAAGAGCCGAGACACCGAACCGTCATTGCCAGAAAAATGTATAGCGACTGTGGTTTATAGATGCAATGGAATATTAGTCAGCCTTTAAAATGAAGCTAATGTGTGACATGGAAAGACCTAGAAGATACTATGCTAAGACAAACAGGCCAGACACACAAAAAAGCATTATGTTCTCACTTCCATTTAAAATTTTAAAAACTCAAATGGGGGTGGGGATCGGAGGGGAAAGCTATAGAAAAATCAAAGGAGAAGGCAAGGAAGATAAAGACATCCAGAGATACGCAGAGGGAGGGGCTTCACAAGTACAGCTTGTATCTGGAATTTCTGCTAAATGACTAAATTGTAGCTGCTCTTGTCACGCACCCAAGGATAACCGTGTGCGATGACACATATGATTTGCTTCACTGTAGAGGTTCCACTTTACTAACTATAGCTAATAAAATCTAAGTAAGTATGTCAGCCCTGACGGGCAAGTCTCAAGGACCGATGAACCAGGAGGGAAGGCAGTAAGGACAACCCGAGAAAGAACATTCCAGCCAGAGTAGAGAACAAGAGCAAACGCCCTCTGCCCTGTGGCCCGTGCACACTTTATCTGAAGTAAAGGATGAGGCATGCAGAGGTGCAGAGGGGCAAAGGAGGGTTTGGGGGGACAGTGTGGCAGGTAAGGTGCTCACTATACAAGATTGAGGACCTGAGTTCAGCACCCATGTAAAACATGGGCATGGAGGCTCGGAGTGGGGACACTTGATCCCAGAGACTCACCGGACAGCCAGTCTAGTCAAATAATGAGCTCTGGGTTCATTGAGAGACTCTGTCTTAAAGAGACAGGGGAAAGTGATTGAAGAAGATTGAGGAAGACAGTCAGCATCGACCTCACACGGACACAGGCCTGCACATATGGGTGTACAGTCATGTCAACTATGATCCAAACTGTGTTCAGTGGACAAGAGTGATGCCAGGCGGACAGGTGGGACTCAGGAGCAGCAGCAGCGGCTTCAGGTAAAGCCATAGCTGAGCAGGGTATGCAAACAAGGCCAGTTAGGGGCTAGGGAAGTGGCTCCGCAGATAAAGCACTTGTCTTGCAAGCACAAGGACAGGAGTTCAGATCCCCAGCACCAAAGTGAAAAGGGAGGAGGGGGCCAGGTGTGGAGGCCCACCTGTAATCCTAGCACTCTGGAGACAGAGAGGTTCCCAGGGCAAGATTGATGCCTAGACTAGCCAGAACTGGTGAGGTCTGCATGCACAGGGAGACTCTCTCTCAATGAAGAGGGTGGAGAGAAATGAAGGAAGACCAGGATGACAACTTCAAGCCTTTTCCATGTACATACACCCAGACAAACATGTGTGCCCACACATACATGAACACATTACATACATATACACAGGTCACTGAGTCTACAACATATCCAGATAGACAAAGTGTGGAGCATAAAACAAATGTGGAATCAATGATCACAGTGTCTGTCTTTCTTCCTCCCTCCCTTCCTTCCTTCCTTCCTTCCTTCCTTCCTTCCTTCCTTCCTTCCT